TTGAAAATGAGATTTGGACTGGAATAGAATCAAAGTGAGATTAGCAACAGTAACAATGATGACAAGGCATCATTACAAGGGGATTACTATAGCATGATTCTCGGGGTGTTACAGCGGGCCAATCGTTGATGGTTACAAACAGCAACGCGTGCAGGTTAAATTCCTCCTGTTTGTGCTCATCCCACGTACGTACACCATTTCCATTCCACAGTTGTAAAAGTTCTTCAACTAATGGCCTTAGGAACACATCAATGTCGTTGCCGGGTTGCTTAGGGCCTTGGATGAGAACTGGCATCATAATGAACTTCCGCTTTATGCACATCCAAGGAGGAAGGTTATACATATATAGAGTCACGGGCCAGGTGCTGTGATTGCTGCTCTGCTCCCCGAAAGGATTAATGCCATCCGTGCTTGAACCAAACCATACGTTCCTTGGGTCACTTGCAAACTCAGGCCAGTACTTTCTCTCGATTTTTCTCCACTGCGACCCGTCAGCGGGTGCTCTCAACTTCCCGTCTTTCTTACGGTCCTCACCGTGCCATCGCATCAACTTGGCATGCTCTTCGTTTCTGAACAGACGTTTCAACCGTGGTATTATAGGAGCATACCACATCACCTTCGCAGGAACCCTCTTCCTGGAGGGCTCGCCGCCAACATCACCAGGGTCATCTCGTCTGATCTTATACCGCAATGCACTGCATACTGGGCATGCATTCAGATCCTTGTACGCATCGCGGTAGAGGATGCAATCATTAGGGCATGTATGTATTTTCTGCACCTCCAATCCTAGAGGGCATACGACCTTCTTTGCTGCGTATATACTATCGGGCAATTCGTTATCCTTTGGAAGCTTCTTCTTCAATATTTTCAGTAGCTTCTCAAATCCTTTGTCAGGCACAACATTCTCTGCCTTCCACTGCAGCAATTCCAGTACGGTACCGAGCTTTGTGTTGCCATCTTCGCAATTGGGGTACAACCCTTTTTTGTGATCCTCTAACATGAGATCGAACTTCAGCTTCTCCTTTTGACTTCTGCATTACGTCCTTGCATCGACAATGACCCGGCGGAGAACATCATCATCGGGCACATCGTCTGGTTCCTCTTGATCTTCAGCAGCTTCCCCCGTTGCAGCATCATTGGGCACATCGTCTGGTTCCTCTTGATCTTCAGCAGCTTCCCCCGTTGCAGCATCACCGTATTCAGGGGGCACATAGTTGTCATCGTCCTCTTCTTCTTCGTTGTCTTCCATCATAACCCCTATTTCTCCGTGCCTTGTCCAAACATTATAGTGTGGCATGAAACCATTGTAAAGCAGGTGGGTGTGAAGGATTTTCGGTCAGAGTAAGACTTCGTATTCCCACATTTAGGGCATGGACAACACATAAAACCATTCTGCTTGTTTGCCTCAGCCACTTCGAGAAAATCATGCACGCCCTTAATGTACTCGGAGGTGTGTCTGTCACCGTACATTCATTGCCGGTTCATCTGCGTGCATTATATATAATTAAGTGTGTCAAAAACCATTACAGAACATCATGAATAGATAATTAAGTGACCAAATTAATATAAGTTCATCATCACATTAAAACCAAAGTACATACATTGTTCTCATCTAACAACATATAGCTCTCCAGAGCATCTAATTAATTAAACCATATATTGAAACTATGTAAAACATTTCAATGCGAAAAAAATGCGATCATAATCGCAACCAAGGTAACAATTGATCCAACGGCATAATGATACCAAGCCTCGGTACGAATGGCATATTTTCTAATCTTTCTAATCTTCAAGCGCATTGCATCCATCTTGATCTTGTGATCATCGACGACATCCGCAACATGCAACTCCAATATCATCTTCTCCTCAATTTTTTTATTTTTTCCTTCAAGTAATTGTTTTCTTTGTCAACTAAATTTAACCTCTCGACAATAGGGTCGGTTGGAATTTCCGGTTCAACTACCTCCTACATAAATAAAATCTATGTCACGTTGGTCGGCATAATTGTCATAAACAATAGATGAACCAAATAGTTATAAAAAGATAATATATACCACATCCGAATCATAGACAGGACGAGGGCCGACGGGGGCGGATACCAAAACCATCGCACTATATAATAACAAGCAATAAAATAGTAAGAAAATTAGACAAGTATCTATCTAAAGTAAGTTTTTTTTCAGAAAGAAGATAAGAACAGGAGGCTCACCACGGTGGTGCCGGCGATGAGATCGGCATGGGCGATCGACAGCGGTGAAGACGGGAACGGGACATGACGGGCCGCTAAACCTAGACAAATCTCGAGGAAAATGGAGCTTTGAGGTCGAGCTTCGACAAGAGAAAGCTTAACTAGTGTGGCTCGGGCATTTCATCGAACACCTCATGTGCATAGGAGGTGAGCTAGAGCACCACAAAGCCCTCCCCTCGCCGGCCAGAGAAAAACAGAGCACTGGAGCGCTCTGCTCGCGGGCGAGGGGTATATATAGGCACCTCATTGGTCCCGGTTCGTGGCATGAACCAGGACTAAAGGGAAGCCTGTGGTCTCGCTTCAAGCCACCAACCGGGACCAATGGTGGTGGGCCAAGAGCGAGGCCCATTGGTCCCGGTTCGTCCCACCAACCAGGACCAAAGGGGCCAGACGAACCGAGACCAATGCCCCCATTGTTGGAGATATGCCCTAGAGGCAATCATGTATGATGATATTTCCTATGTGTTTATGAATAAAGATAGTCCTTGGACATTATCAATGATGTGTATAAGCAAGTACGTGACTTGTTTGTGGGACTATGCATTGTATGATGGCTGTCCTAAAAGGTCCCTAGTCGAAAAGGCTGTGTGGATGCGCAGCCAACTAGACTAGCATATGACACGGTCGATGGCTTGGTCTCACTAGCCATGGAGCATTGGATGCTAACCGGATAATATGGACTTGGAAGGATCTGGTCGGATTCGACGTAGTCGGATCCGAGTCGAGATAAGGTCCGAGTCGGACAGACCCAACTATGAGACGCAGCGATATGTCATCTATGAGTCTCTAGTACAACATATGTTCTATGTCCTAAGACCTGAGCTGACGCATGTACTCGGGATGGTGACAGGCTTGCTTTGGGCCGACCAAACGCTACTCCGTAACTGGGTAGTTATAAAGGTAGGTTTCGGGTTTGTCCAGAACCATGCTGCGAGACGTGGTCGAGCAAGATGGGATTTGCCCCTCCGATCAGGAGAGATATACTCTGGGCCCCTCGTGTGATCCGACCAGGATAAGCATGGCCATGCGACAAGGATTATGAGATAATCCGGTTTATGGTCGGCATCACTGGAATGAGAAAGAGGTCGGGCTAGCACAAGGATGACAGACTCGCCTTGAGCTCGACAACATATATCGTGTGGCAAAATGAATGGAAGTATGATGTACAGGTTCGCTAACCAGCTTCATAGTCTGCTTAGTGTTCGGCATGCCTTGCTAGAGGCCGCTACCAACCGTGCAGTTCGGAGGTGATCCAAACTGCGACCAAGCCGACTTGAACCTAAGGGGTTGCGCGCTTAAGGGAAGGAACCTACGAGGTCGGATCTGAGGACACTGGTCGGATGTGATCCGAACTGTATTCGGATTGTGGCCGAGTAGACTTATGGGCTTTGGGGTATGTGCGAGGCCCAAGTGTTGAGCCCGCGACGGACGCCTATATATAGTGGAGGTGCCGCACACTCACGCGGTTGATCGTTTCGGCGCTGTCACTAGGGTTTGCATGTGTTGCGAATAGACACCTCCACTCGTCGCCGGTTGTGTGATCGGACCTAGCAGTCCGTCGCACGACGTTCCTCTTGCACGTGCGGATACCATTAGAGGCGGTGCACTTGCGCCGCTCCGGCTAACCTGTACGTGGGAGCCGACCACCGGCTGTACGAGGGGGATCGGATGAGGAGGAGACGATCCACGCGGACGCGTTGCCCCAACTCTTCTTCCGCTGCACGGCACTGCGTGTCTAGTGGTAACGAACTGTGATCCATCTCCCGTAGCATGTTCTTGGTTGTTCTGCGCGTAGGAAGTTTTAATTTGCAGTCGACGCACCCTACCGTAGACCCCAACACCCACGAGGCCCGGCAGGCCCGTGGCCTCACGAACCGGGACCAATGCCCCCATGGGTCCCGGTTCTGGACTGAACCGGGACTAATGGGCTGACCCGGCCTGAACCAAAGCCCTCTTTTCTACTAGTGCCGGGTGCTACGCTGGCCAGATGCAGTGGCGGACCTAGGAATGAGCCAAGGCCCAGGCGAACTGGGCCAAGGCCCAGACAACTCTGTTGGCTGTAGCAAATTACTGTAGCTACAGCACACAAATATATGAAGGACATGGGCCTCACGCCCCAGGCCGCCGCCCCTTCTGCCTGGGGCCTAAATCCGCCCATGGCCAGATGTGTAGCGCATGTTAGTAAGACGCTGCACAGTGCAGTATGACGCCTAACTGTCAGGCACTACATAAAAGGGTTAGCTGGGTGAAATAGTTTTAAAAGCAGTTCAGTTTGTGAATTAGTTTCGCCTTGAGGTCAGATTTATCGTTTTTGCCCTTATTTTTCGAGCGACCTAAGAAAGAAAGCGTGGAAAGGAGCTTGCACATAATAAGACTTTGAGGATCTAGAAAATTTCCATACACTTGGTCAACTCTTGGACAGAATCTTTACAACGTGTGTGTTGTGCGTGTGTGTGTGGCAAAAGCCTTGGACGTGAAGGAAGAGGAAACCGTGTGGACCTGTGGAGTAGGAGTAGGACCTACCGGGGAGGGAACTTTAACCGAAACGCCACGGAGATTTCCAGGAACCACAGACAGAACCCTCCTCTGCTCTCGCGATTCCCCTCCCGATTTCATCCCCAATCCTGCACGCGACGGCGGCAATTCGACCCTCGCAAGCGGTCCAGTCCAGTCGGAGCATCCCCATCATCAACCTCGAGAGAGAGGCGGTTCGATCCTACCTGGTCTCGCGCGCGGAGGAGGCGGAGGAGCGATGAAGAAGATCTTCGGCGCCAAGAAGAGCCAGGACCCGCCGCCGTCCATCCAGGACGCCACCGACCGGGTACGCATCCGCCCGCGCATCTTCTCTTCGATTCCTCGATTTTCAGCTAGCTAGCTAGGGTTGGATTCGACCCCCTTCTCATGGAATCCATGGCCGGGCAGATATACAAGCGGGGGGACACGGTGGACGAGAAGATCAAGAAGCTGGACGCGGAGCTGGCGCGCTACAAGGACCAGATCAAGAAGACCAGGCCCGGCCCCGCCCAGGAGGCCGTCAACGCGCGCGCCATGAGGATCCTCAAGCAGCGCAAGATGTATGTACAAACCCCAACCCAACCCCACTATTAATCTGTTATTTCTTCTAGTCGACCACAGTAGGTGATAACAGTGAATGCTAGCTGCTATACTGAACTAATGGGGACATGCAATTTCCTGGATAGACGGCCATTAGAGACCGACCCCCTTCTGGCCTCGGCACGCCCGAGATGGCAAGCTGCATTGAGAGAAAAAACAATTTCAGGATGTTTTCTTACCTAACAGGACACACCTAAAACACATACCAGACTAGTAGTTGTATAAAGCAAATTTAGTATGTCTCACATTCTCTTATATTGATAGTCCATAGCTTCTTCTGCTCCGCATCCAAGGGCTCCATAAACAATCATCATCTGCTGCTAAATAACGCTGATTTTAAAGGGAATCTCCAAGATGCTCTATTATGTCAATTGCACAGGCAGTTGTGGGGATATCAGCATTTGTCATGTTTGTTCTCCTGGGCCAGGGGCAGCTAAAAAGGAATATTGCATTAACAATGAGGCTGCACTACCAAATGCTTGTCTAAAATGTCAACTAAAATACATGGTTAGCCAGACCTACTACTCTCTTGTGGTCGTCCATGGGCAGTACCAATGTTGTTGACAAGTCACCTTCTGAAAGGCTAGCTGAGAAGGCATAGCTGAATCTATTTGACGTGCTTCCGTACACCTTTAGATTTTCTTCCCTTCTTTACAAATTACAACACATCATCTTTGTGCAGTTTCAGAATTTCCTCCTAGGTAGGTTGTGTCTTTATAGAAACTGCTGATCCGAAAAGCTAGCAAGTTCTTAACATGGACAAGATAGAAGTGGAATGCTATTGGTTCTCCAGGATTACCCTGTAGCATTTAATCATTCTTCTTGCGGCAGGAGCCTATATCAGTCTAGTGCTCTAATCTTCATACTCCATATGCTTACCTACAGGTATGAAGGTCAGCGTGACATGCTGTACAACCAAACTTATAATCTTGACCAAGTTGCTTTCGCATCAGAGGGAATCAAAGATGCTCAACAGACTGTATGTTGCCTTAATTTCCTGTCAAGTTCATGATAGATTCTTATTATGGCACCCAAACTTATGTTGAATTGTTTTTCATTTAACAGATGACTGCAATGAAAGCTGCCAATAAAGAGCTGAAAGGGACGATGAAGACTGTCAGGATTGAAGATATAGATGTATGCAGCATAACTGTTCATATTTTCAAGATCTTTAGCTTATTTTCTTTGAGTTACATCTGAATCCATACCTGCTGTTATAATCCGCAGAGCATGCAAGACGAGATGATGGATCTTATGGATGTGAGCAATGAAATACAAGAAACTCTTGGTAGAAGCTACAATGTCCCAGATGACATCGACGAGGAGGAACTTATGGGCGGTATGGCTCTTATGTAGTTGGCTCTTCTTGAATATTTCAAATGTTTACTGAGTCAACTAATTTTCCTCACAGCGGTTACCAGCTGGGAACCACTCTTCTGTGCAAAGTTTTGTAGTTGAATTTGATTCAGTACACTCTCCATTTTATATTGGTCTTAGGTTTCATCTGAAACCTTTTTTTGGCCCTTTTTTTGCATGACTGGTTTTGTGTCATGCATTTGTTAATTTACAGGCAAGACGGTTCTCTATTTGCTCTTCTCATTTTGTATGTTGGAAAATGCAGAGCTTGATGCTTTGGAAGCCGATATGGACTTTGAGTCGAATTCAGTCCCATCATACCTCCAACCAGACAAGGAGACTGATCTTGATTCTGAGCTTAACCTACCTGCTGCACCAAGTGGTCATGCAGCAGTCCCGGCGAACCGGCAGCAGGTATGTCAATTGCAAGACTGACTAGTTCAGTTTCTGTTCACATTGATTCTCATGCTGATATCCCTAGGAAGAAATAGATGGTTCATGTCATTTCCCATGTAATCACAGTGTTTCCTTTATCTTGTGACATGATCTAATTTGACAGGCTAGATGCTTGAGATCATTATGAATGTAGTGCTGAACTCATAACTCTTGTATTTCATGATGCATGCATATGTTGTTGGTATGAACAATTTGAGCTCATAATAGCTTGATCTTAATAGTAAAAGAAACACACAGAAGGATAACATGCAAACTGTTTTCATGCCAAACATGTGGTATATGATGGATTTCATGATGAACTTTGAAGTCTCCGTTGAACATCTCAGACGGCACATACTTTAATTTGCTTGATTACCCCTGATTGCAATGTGAACACTTGTCAACCAGTAGACTAATTTGCTCTGCTTACTTTTGTCTGTTGGCAGGAGGATGAACTGGGACTGCCTACCGTGCCGCACGCATCAATTCGTACCTGAATGAAAGTAACAAAAAAGCTATGGTGTAGATTTTGATCTCGTTGTAAATGGTCGGCACGTTGTTTATGCATGGACAAATTCATTGTATCTTGCATCATATACCACTGCAATTTGTTGAACGATGGAATGTCTCTTTCCCTTTGTGCTGGAACAATAGTGTGTGATAAAGGGAGTGTTCTCTATACGGTTGTACATCCTGTTGTTAGTATGTCTCTGCTGAGTTGAATTGGTATCTGATTCTCTGATAATGAAATTATGGGACATTGCTAGCCCACGTGTTGTCTGTCACAGCTTTTCCTATCATCTCATCTTTGTTAAGTTTGTATTAGGCATCAAGAGAAAGAAGGTCGTATCTTTGTTCCATGAAATTCTCATTACCAGTGCTTGAAATTAAGTGTAGTAGTAAATTATCTATTGCTCCATCCTAAGAACAAGGACCACATATGCTCCATCATGAGGACAAGGACTACGTATGCGTGCCCTACAACCCTCCGTAAGCCCTTTTACTTAGTACTGGTGTACTTTTGTTGTTTTATGCACCTATATCCGTGTGTTCACATTCATTTGGTCTGTTCGAACGCTTGATCATTGTGATCGTTCCTGCTTGGTCCAAGGTATTTTATTTTGATACCCAGACAACAATAAGCGAGATGACATGATAACGTGTCAGTTTTGGATTCCAGTTTTTCACCTTCAGGTTCATGGGGGCAATAATAAGGAAAAATGACTACATACTCCTGCCCTACAACCCTCTGTAAGTGCTTTTACTTGGTATATTGCGGTACTTGCTCTTTTTTTATGCACCTATCTCCAATGTGCTTACATTCATTTCGTTCCGTTTATGCATTGTGATTGTTCCTGCGTGGTCCGAGATATTTGATCTTGATTCCCATATGAAATAAATAAAGCAGGACAACATATTGGATTTCATTTTTTTCAATCTTTATTAGGTTATGCGAGCAATAGTAGATAAAAAGAGACAAATATTAGGACACATTTAAGTACCCTGCAGACAACAGCCGAAAGAAAGTGTCACATGTGGATACTACAGTCTTTAACAAATATAAGCAACCCGCAAACCAAATTATATTTATGCATTGTAAAAATCAGCAAGCAAAAGAAATATCAAGAACATAGGACAAGACACACATTTTTACGTGGGAAACCCTTGCAGGAAAAACCACGGGCACACAATGGTGATCTTTGTTGTATCAGGAGAGTCTACAAATACATAGACTTACAATGAGTCTTCAACTCATCCTGTGTGGCATGGCAAGTCATATGGCAAGAGGTATATATAGGTGGTGTATGAGTGATGTATAAGTAAACAAAATTAGAAATCTGAATTGGCCTCTGCTTCGGTAGACTCTGGTTTCTCACTAGGATTCAGACCTTATGTCAACATGCATCCCTTGCTGTAATGTAAGTGCGCTGAAAGGCACGGCAGTTGAACTAGAAGATGGCTGGATGAGTGTTTGGTATGCCTCCCGCATGGTTGGCCTTGCTTGGGGAGAAGATTCCAAACATGATAAGGCCAGCTTGATGACCAGAGCTAAGCTATTCTCTTCAGTTGATATTGGTGGTGTTGGCCGTTGGTCCAGAATATCTTTCACCATCATTGACTGTTCGCCGTTAGAAAGACTACCATCTAATAAATCCCTTGGATGCTTGCCCATCACTAGCTCTAACACAACCACCCCAAAGCTATAAACATCACATTTCTCTGTCGCAACAGATGTGTATGATAGTTCTGCACAGAAGCGTCAATAATATTAGAATTAGGAATAAATGGATAGAGACGAATGCTTCTGACGTGAGAAGGAAGGTTATGCTGGTACATACCAGGAGCGATGTAGCCATACGTTCCTGCTAGTGCACTCCAGTTTGATGAATCGGGCTTAAGAATCCTTGCCGTGCCGAAATCCGAGACAAAAGCCTTAAAGGATGTATCAAGTAAAATGTTGTTGCTTGTGATATCTCGATGGATTATAGGTGGACTGCATTCGTGGTGCAAATAAGATATTGCTTGAGCCACATCTGTTGCAAGAGCAATTCTCTTGTTCCAATCTAATTCCTTTGCTAGCTCTTGATTTTCCAATATTCTGTGGAGGTTTCCCTGTTGAATGTAGTCATAGACGAGAAATTTATACACTGGATGGGAGCAGAATCCATACATTCTGACAATGCTTCGTTGTCGGATCTGTGTTAAGATTTCCATTTCACTACGAAATCTTCTTTCATCATCCAACTCTTCTTCGGTCTGATGAAGCTTCTTCACAGCAACCAACTGCCCATCTTGGAGTTGTGCCTTGTAGACTTTGCCGTATCCTCCGGTTCCAATGTTGTACTTATCATCAAAGTCTTCTGTTGCCCTTACAATATCGTCAAATACTAGTCTTCCGTCAAAATTCCAAACAGAGAATAGGTCCCTTGCTTCAGAGGTAACACTTTCTTGTGGATTTCTCTTCTTACGAGTAAGTATTATTATGACAACAATTGCAGCAACAATGACGAAACCCATCACAAGAACAATTGGCAAAAGCAAACCAAGTATCTTCCCCTTTTTGTGAGCAGCTACTGGGGTTGAATAACAAGGTGGCAGACCAGAGAAGTTACCACACAGACCTTTATTGGGAAGAAACCAACTCGCTGAAGCATTTTGGAGTAGCCGTGCTGAAGGGACCGGTCCATCCAAGTCGTTGTAGGACACATCAAGCATTGAAAGGCTCACCATGCTTGCAAAGGAGGATGGAATGCTGCCACTGAACTGATTATGTGATAAATTCAGAAGTTGTAGCATCAGCAACTTCCCAAGTTGCTGCGGTAACACACCACTGAGGTTATTTTTGCTCACATCTAACTTGATCTGCAGGCCTGCTAAATTTCCAATCTCACTGGGCAAACTCCCATTGAAGTTGTTGTTGTTGATCTTCAAGGACTGTATTCTTATGCAGGCCCCTAGTTCCTCAGGTATTGATCCACTTAACATGTTCCCAGATATATCAAGGTATCCTAGACTGCTCAGCTTTTCTATCTGTGTAGGTATGGGCCCGGATAATTGGTTGAATGATAAGTTTAGTATATATAGATGAGTTAAACTGCAGATTTCTGGTGGAATCTCACCACTGAGATGATTAGAGTCAAGTCTTAGTTTTTCTAGGTTGGACAATTTAGAAAGGATTGTAGGTATGGGACCCGTGATCATATTTTGTGCTAGATGTAGTGCCACTAATTGAGTAGATGCACCTAGATTGGATGATATCAGCCCAGAGAGTCTATTCGATGCCAAATTCATCACTGTGAGTTGTGGATAAACACCAAAATGCTGAGATATATCTCCTGTCAGTTGGTTTGACTCAAGGTCAATTTCAACTAAACTTGAACATGTCTTTAAACTACTTGGAATGGGGCCATTGAACATATTATACGCGACATTGAGAGTTTGAAGTCCGGCACCTGAACATATATTTGCGGGTAAAGGTCCTGAAAGTGAGTTGTTAGCTAGCTCAAGCACAACAATGTTTATGAGATATCCAAATTCTTGAGGAAGATCACCTGATAAATTGTTATTGAAGATTCGCATTTCTTGGATGTTGTGCAACTTCCCAAAAGTTTTAGGTATTGATCCTGATATTTGGTTCTCATTCAAGTATAAATATGCGAGGTTCATCAGATTGCCAATCTCTTCAGGGATGGAGCCGGTTATCTGATTTCCATAGAGGGATAGTGCTACTAGCTTGGTAATATTTCCTAGGCTCCCAGGAATAGTGCCAGATATTTGGTTGTCGAACAACTCTAAATTCTGGAGATTCAGTAAGTAGCCCAATTCTGAAGGTATTGGGCCTGTGATTTTATTTGTACTGAGAGAAATTACATTGAGCATAGTGATGTTGCCTAGTTCAGGGGGTATTGAGCCTATGATTTGATTTTGGTAGAGCATAAGTTGGTTTAGCATCTTAAGATTTCCTATTTCTGGGGGTATTGGACCTGTGATCTGATTTTCATAGAGAACAAGTAGGTTTAGCTTAGCGAGTTTGCCTAGTTCTGGGGGTATTGAACCTGTGATTTGATTTTCAAAGAGAAAAAGTTGGTTCATCTTAGTGAGATTGGTTATGGAGATTGGAATTGGACCTGACAAATCATTTGAATTAAGCGCAAGACCATGCAAATGGACTAGCCTGCCTAGTTCTTGGGGTATAGGCCCTGAAAGTTGATTACCAAACAGGTACAAATCATTTAGTTGGGTCAGATTTCCAAGGGTTTTTGGTATCATGCCGCTTAAGCTGCTGTTGCTTAGCTGCAGACCTTGTAGGTTGACAAGCCTTCCAATCTCCTCAGGAATGGGACCTGATACCATGGTTTGGTGAATGGCAAGAATATTTAACATTGTGAGGTTGCCCAGAGATGCAGGAATATGTCCTGTGAGTCTATTAGATGAGAGCTCAAGCACCCTGAGACTTTGCAGGCCACCAATCTCACTAGGAATTTTCCCTTTGAGCTGGTTGAAGCTAAGGTCAAGTGCTGAAAGTGCTGACAGGGAGGTGATACTAGTGGGTAGTGCACCATGGAGACTGTTGTTTTGAAGGTTGATATATGCGAGGAATGGAAGAGCCGAGAAGTTGAGCTCACCAAGCTGTCCGCGGATGCCAGCGTCTGGCAGGGAGATATTGGTCACCACCCAGGGCATACGACGGCCATGGCGAACAGCCGTGCACATGATGCCCGTCCAGTTGCATGGGCTGGTGTTTTCTTGCCAAGAGCTCATGCGCAGCGGTGGGTTTGCAAGTGTAGCTTTCCAGTGGAGGAGGGCCATGCGTTGAGACCTCAGTGAGATCCCTCCATGGCGCGCTGCATGCGCTTCTTGCAAGAGAAGAAGGCACAGCACCAGCATTAGGCAGAGGTACAACAATGGTGTTGAGGAAGATGGCATTTTGCTTCCTAGTGTTTGCGTGTTGTGTATTGGTTGGAGGATGTGATTCCGTGGACACCATTGATGAGTATTTAAGGAGTGTGTTGTCCATTTATGAGGTCTTCGGTCAATCAACACACAGCAATAATTGAGTGGAAGCTGCTGCTGGATGATATTCTTCAGTATGTGCCACCATCTCTGCCCCATTTTTCCTTCTTTTGGCAGCTACTGTTGGACTGCCTGTTTATCTTTGTCAGCGTCACCATCTGTTACTCTATTTTGTTTCCTCGTGCCTGTGGAAAGATGACACAGTAACTACTCCTTGAAAGCAATTGAAAAGCAGGGATGGAAGGGTACCTATGGCGTACGCGTACACATATCTTTCCGAATTCTTCTCCATCTACAACTTATGCACTGGAGTTAACATTGCGGCAGAGTTTTATCTCATGGTAGCTCCTCTGATTGATTTGATAGCATCTCTTGTTTATTTTATGATGTAAATTGTAGCTGCTTCAATTATGTCTTAAGCTATTCTCTTAAATGTTTCCCTCCTTGTTTTTCAGCTGGTACACAAAACAAAAGATTAGCTCAAGTGGTGGGGGGATGCAACTAACCGTAGGAAAATTCCATGCTGGATTTCTATTTTTCCTGAAAAGCGGATCTCTATTGATGGTAGTAATAAAGTTTCTTGGGTTGAATTTTGGTCAATACCTATCCTGGACCCCAAGTATTTTTGGAAGTCCCGTGTCGGAGGGAATACGAGGCAGTGGCTGCAACTTGTTGAATCCAAGTGGCTGCTGAAGAAAAGTTCAACTTGTGGAATACAACCAAGCAAAAATTTGGACCACACTGACCGAAGAAAAATTCCAAGCCCAAGTGGATTAATTTGGTAATATTCTACTTCTTCTAGCACTTTCTGTACGTCTTCCCATGTATGAGTTGATTGCCCAGCACTTTGTAAATACAAGTAACCAAAAAGTGTGCAAATGATTAGTATTGCTCCCATACTTTGGTAGCTCCAAGTGGCGCCTGTGCTTATGTGTACATGTAAATTAGACTGGTTGCAAGAACTTGATTTTTCCCCCTTCCTGATCCCGGTTGAACAATGAAATGTCTCTTTACTACTATTGTTTTGGAATAATAGCGAGTGATAGAGGGAGCTGCTCCCGATACGGTTGTACGTCCTGTTTTTAGCATGTCTGGTTCCACTAGCTTCCTGTAGCTCATTAACTTCTTGCTTCCTCTCTTTCAACCTCTCTTTGCCTGTGTTTGTTTTGTACTAGTAAATATTCCACAATCAGGGCGTGCATGAGCTAATAATGTAAACATAAATAAATTATTCTCCCTTTTTTAGCAAGGGAAAGACGCATATTTCATTTTAGCTCAAGTACTTATCAAGTAGTACAACACAAAGTACAAAGTACATGAGCTAATAAAGTATCCAGCAAAGTTGGCATCTTGATGAGCTACAAATACAAGGCAAATGTTGTTCCTACGAGCTGAACTGATGCAACGAACTGTCTTACTACTAAAATAAAAGATCTACAATTCCAGGATCTTTGTACTAGACTGATGAACCAAGCAAACACATGAATCTCGATAACTCATCCCTCAAATGGTGTCTTAGTTTCTGCTATTTTCATACACTCACCATATATACTATTGATAGCTAAACCCCCTCAAAAAGGTAAGAACAAAATGTTGTCTAGTTCTGGATGTCCAAAGCAAGGCCATGATGTGGCTACCTACTTGTAATTAGCACACAACTATGTTATAGGCCTTCAGTAGTTTCAGTTGTTCCTCAACTTAAGGTCATTTCTTAATCTAAACATCCACAATTATGCTACTAGTACTAGCACTATTCTTTTGAGGCCGGTTTCGAAACGGCTACAGAGAGTAGAGAATTACGTCGGTTGATATTAATACACAAGTGGTGCCTACTATTAAAGTTTCATTCACCAAATGCCGTCCAAAGATCATCATTAGACTGTCAAAAAGGAAAATCATTGCAGTAAAGGTCAAGGCAACAAAAAGTTCAGAGAGGTGAATCTCGTCGGATGATGCACAGTCAAAAACTTAATAATGACTTCAGCAGCAAATTCATACTGACAAACCAAGTTTCTTCTTCAGGGCATCTGAACATTTGTTGGAGTCGTGAACTGACTTGGCAACACCCTGCGCAGCTTGCTGAGAGACCTCACCACAATACTCAATGACTAAAGACTAACTTATGTGCACGTCCCAGTTCAGTCACTCCTACATCAGTCACCTTTTGATGAAACTAGTAAATATTCCACAATCAGGGCGTGCAGGAGCTAATGTAGAAGAAAAATAATGTATTCACCCTTTCTTTTAACAAGGGAAAGGTGCATGTTTCATTTTAGCTCAAATATAAAGTACAACACAAATTACATAGCCAGCAAAGCAAAGTTGGCATCTTGATGAGCTACAAATACAAGGCAAATGCTGTTTCTATGAGCTGAACTGATGCAACGAAGCTGTCCTGTTACTAAAATAAAAGGATTCAGAAATCTGAAAGGCTCAAAAAAGAGATGAATCTTTGTACCAATCAAACACATGATAGGTGAAAGAGACGCGACCCCTCAAAAAGGTAAAAACAAAATGTGCAGAGCAAAGACACGATGTGAGTACCTGAGATGTAATTAGTCGCTCAAGTTTCACTTGTTCCTCAACTTCAGGCCATTTTAGAATCTAAACATCTACAATTATGCTACTGGTAACTAGCACTATACTTTTGAGAAGCAATCAAAGACATCCTCCGGTAGAGTTGATATCAACAAAACAAGCATGCCGCCTTTGTACGTGTCCATTGAAACTTGGACATAATATTATTACTACAACGATACATACCAAAATTGCCACGCGAACATAGCAGGCAGAGATATATGGCTTCAAAATCACTTGCACAATAAAAAAGGGTCCATGACATTTGCTTAAATAATACAAATAAGTAGTACCAAACTGTCATATAGTGCCTCCACAGCAAAAACACAGAATCTTGGGGCCTAACTTATGTCAGTTTCAAAACGGTTACAGAGAGTAGAAATTAAGCAACCAGAATTATGGTTGATAGTAATACACCAGTGGTGCCTATCACAGTATTAAAGTTTCATTCACGAGATGCCATCGAAAGGTCATCATTAGACTGTCATACAGAAAAATTATACAGTAACGGTAGAAGGCAATAGAAAGTCCACACAAGTGAATCTAGGTCGGATGATGCACACAACCTTGTCCAATGATGCACACTGAACAACTTAATGTCTTCAGCAGAAAATTTATACTGAAAATTTTGGAGACCACTTCATCAATAGCCACCAAGACCAATTCTCTTCCTAAGGACATCTGAATATTTGCTGGAGTAGTGAACTGACTTGGCGACACCCTGCGCAGCTTGCAGAGAGACCTCACCACAACACTCAATGACCAAAGACTCTAACTTATGTGCATGCCTCAGTTCAGCCACTCCAACATCAGTAATGTAATGACACAACTGAAGTGTGAGATTACTCAAGCCTGGGGTGTGCGCAATGAAGCGCATCCCAGCATCAGTTACCGCATGACACAATATAAGCTGAAGTGTCTCCAGATGTGGTGAGGATGAGAGGCCCTTCATCCCCTCGTCATCAAAGAAGTTGGCGGTATTTAGCACAAGAACACGAATCGGGCAGGACTGAATGAGCACCAGAAAACCCTGCTATGTGAATCCTATTTCTGATGGCCAGTCAGGGGAACATCCTCTAAAGTTGAGGTCCACCATCTGAAGCATACGACAGTTTAGGGCTAGAGCGTAAAGGCTGTTATCAGTAAATGACGTCCTGGTTTCACAATAGCCGACATCACTAGAGTAGGGCTGCAGGTTGAGCCAAAGTGAGATGCTTTTAAGGTTGCTGCAGCTCCGAGATGATGCAATCATGTCATTGTCATTTAGGGCACAAACATACTCAAGGCAAAGCTTCTCCAATGCATTACATTTCCCTAGGACAACACGAAGTCCTACTTCTGGCCAAGTTTTAATATGCGCCAACCTTAAATCCTTCAAACTCTCACAGCAGAAATCGTATATATCCGTGCTGTGAGCATCGTACGAGGAGTCATAGACCACATCTTCCGTAAGACATTCATATTTTCCTCTTTTGCTCTCAAACTCAAACTTCTGGAGCTTCACCATCCTGAACCAAACTTTAGGAAGTCACGATGATTGATTCCTTGGCAATTCTTCACTACAAGCTCTTCCAATGATCCATCCCTACCAAGGTATTCCAGCCACTCTACACTGTCGATTTTCTTGCAATCAATAAGGTGGAGAGCAGATAGACTTGTGCAACCAACTACAATTGAGAAAAGCCCAATCGAAGTTATTTGTGGTATCGAGTTCAGCCTGAGAGACACCAATTTCTTGCAATTCGCTAAGCAATCAAGCCCAGAGTCATCGATGTGTGAGCAGAAGCTTAATGTGAGATCAATCAGCAAGGAATAGTGAGATGAAAACACAAGAAGGCCTTTGTTATCCAGCTGATTTCCATGTCCAGGTATCCAACCAGAGTAATCGATTTCCACTTTCCGCAGATTTGGGAACCGGGCGCACAATGATGTCAGTGCTTTTTTAGCAGTGCAAAGACCGGAACCTGTTGGATTATGGATGGGCTTAGGCCCATATAAGACACTAATCCCTGGTTAATCTCTAAGGCCCATGCATGTGTACGTCAAGTGGTGGGAAGTGTGGGAAGTTTAGTACCATACTGCTACAGTAAGAAGAGTGAGACCTCTTTATAAGGACTGCTCTACCACTTGCTATTGGGAGCTTGGGAATAGGAGTTGTACACGCGCGCTCCTCCTCCTCCTCCTCCGCCACCCGCCTCGCCTCGTCACGACGCGCGCGCGCGCCCGATCCGTCCCCAACTTCGTCCGCCTCTGCTTCCACTATTTCCCTTGCATCGACACCATGGCCGACGACGCCGCCTCCAAGAAGAAGGCCTCGGTGTGCTGCTGCCGCCACCGCATTGGCCTGGCCAACCGGAGGGTATGATCTGTTCATCTCTCGTTTACTCGTACTTATGCTAGCCGTATATGTGCTGCTCATAGATGATTCGATTCTATGTTCTATACGTGCTAGTATGCTTAGGTATCGCTATGAGATGCATACATTTTATGCCATGCTTACTGTTTACTCGTGGATAAGTCTA